ACTGAGCACCTATTAATTATGCAGGTTTCGCGCGCTGCCGCTGCCTGATCCATTCGCCCCACTCCCTGATTTTTAGGGCGGTAAGAGTGGCGCGGTGGTTTTGGCCGAAAGAGAGGCGGCACAAGCGATCGATCCTATCAAGGCTTCCGTCAGCAGCGATTCTGCAGCAACAGGGGCCGCACACGACCCTGCTGACGTCAGGGCTGGATTACCAAACCTACCCTGGAGGTCGATCAAGCTGAACACTCGCCGAGCGAACGTCATGCGATGACAGAGTTGCGCCACGTCCCGCAGCGACGAAATCAGCGACTCGTCCGCAAAGTTGTGATATGATTTCGCCGCCCCCTGGTATCTCATCCTCGGCTGTAGTGTGCCGCATCACGTGCGTTTATCCCCCACCCCACCCATACCAGTGCGCTGAAACCAGAGGGGGGGGGGGGGGGGGGGGGCAGGGGTGTCCAAGCACGACCGACGCGCGATCGACGACGGACGAACGTCACGCGACGACCGACAGGGGCAGGCCGTTAGACACACACACACACACATCACATCACATCTTGATAGCGCGGGTCGTCGTCACAGTCGTCGTGCACATGTCGTCGATGCTGCATGGGGCGTTTGCAGGGGAGGCCCCCATGGCTTCGTCTACGTGTATGTGTAACGGCTGATGCCTTTACCGAACCCCCCGCCCTGTCTACGAAATGCCCCAATAAATGGTTCTCAGGAGTCGGCGTGATGCCCGCGGTCTTGCGACACCTGTTATAGGTTGCCAGCGCTCTCACCATCCGCCGATAACCATCTGCGCTGACTGTGGCCGGGTGCGACCTCATCTCTTGGACGAAGTGCTGCAATGCGACTCCAGCGCCAAGAACGGCCCCACCTAACTTATCCGCTCCGCCGTAGAGCACCAATAAATCCCTCGCGAACCCCAACAATATTGCACATTCCCCTGCTTTGAGGCTGATGTTGCCTCCAGGGCGCCCGCGTGTTCTGATTGCCGAATTCATTTGAAAGAGCTCACGCGCGCTGAGAGATGGAGACGGGAAGGGGGGGGGGGGGGGAGACGGAATGCAGAGCGGAGGGAGGGGGGCGAGACCGAGCGAAGAGCAGCGGCATGACGAGATGGATCTCGAGGACGGGGCTGGAGGATGGAAGCGGAACACGGCAGGGCGATCGACGCGAGATGACGACGGAGACAACGTCCTGAGGAGGAGGCCACGGAAAATCAGAAGCCCCGATGAGGATGCGACGGAACGTCTTGAGCGACATACGCACGAGAAGGGGTGCACCCCCTCTCCCACCGAGAGGCCGATGATCAATTGAGGACTCCAGAACTCGACAACCAGGTACCCCCATGGAAAGGGGCAGGGGTCTGAGATGCACGGGCCCTCGTATCGGGGGGGGGGCGGAACACAGCCTACGGTGCTGAGCCGACTCGTCTCAGTTCACCCCGTCGTGATGGCGCATCCTATACCGCTGCCTTCGCCGCCGTCATTTCGGTCACTTGGTTTTAAAACCCCATCCGATGCCATGTTTCCGATGTGCGTCCAGTCGCTGCGACGAGCGGTGACACGCCCCGATGCGCATCGACGCACCGGGGGGGGCCCCCCCCCCCCCCCCCCCCCCCGCGAGGTCGACGACTTCGGGTCTTGGCGGCGAAGACCGTTGGCGCGCGATCCTGGAGCTGCCCTCCGCTGGTGGTCCCGTGCTCCACCGTTTCTCTCTGCGGATGCTCGTCCACATGCTCAGGGTGTGTATCACATCCTCTCCACATTCCCCACGTCATCTTCCCATCCCCATGGTCATCCGCCCTCCTCGCAGCTCATCGCCTGAGTGCTGCATTACATGCGCTTCTCGTATTTAACTTGCCCCTTCCCGCATTTCCCCTGATGACCCATCGTCTCATGTCCCAGACATTCGCCCTGCCCAGTCTCAGTTTCACTGCTATCAACTGACGCCATCCTCCCGCATCAGACCCCCCTCATGCGCCGCCCACCCCCCCCACCCCCCCCCCCCCCCCCCCAGGCTGCTCACTTGCTGCAGCCCGCATCCTCCACCATAATCGTTCTCATTGTCTGATTCGCATGTTTAGCGCGAGCCTCCCCATGCTCATCCCCCCATCCTCATCACTCCGCGTCCGTTCGCCCCTCCTTCTCCTCCCCCTCAGTCACCCTCCACTCGACCGTTCAAGCGCGAGCAAACAAAAAAACGCGTTCCTGCAACGCGAAACCCAATCGATTGCCCAACATACCAGCAGTTAAACTCCCTTGGTACCGATCTTTCAGGGGTACATTGTTATCCGATTGCCACTTTTCCAACACTGCAGAAAGGAATGGCATGCTAGCGTCGACCACAACATCTACATCACCACATATACTTCAAGGGTTGGGTAAGACAACCCTCCACAATAGAGCGGCAATGAACCGCGTCACTGGGCCGAAGTACACGGCGTGAAGCGCATCGATCGCCATCGTTCTGGCGGGGCTCGAATGGAGTTGCTCGTCGAAAAAGCGGGCAGCGGTGATTCGCGGCATCTAAAACATTTTGACCCAGTGTACCTGGGGCGCCACAAGCACGCGACCGCTGGCAGAGAAATTGCATTGAGCGCCCCGCTGCCCCATAAATCACCAGATGGTTCGAGGCGATCGCCTCGGAGGATGTCTACGCCATTAACCCGCCCACCCTGCCACGCAACACGACCGCCGATTTTTGTTCTTGCCCCTGGTCCACCGCAACAACCTGCACAACGCATGCCTACCCGCGACCGTCCGCAATGGCACGGTCACTTCGCATCTGGAACAGTCACGATTGTAATCGCTATGGGTCCTGAGCGGGCATGGCAAGTCGTCAACGTCGGCATCCAGGTCAGAGCAATGGTTGTAGAGCTCTGCCTTGCCAAGGACACAGAACGGACACGGCGAATGCAATTTCGCCCAGTTCCCGATTCCGAACGAGTGGTTCTGCTCGGCCCAGTCCACTTTGATACACACCATCACCGCGCTGAAGCCCAGGGGGGGCAGCATTATTCAAGGGGCTGGTTGCTGGCCACTCCGCTCCAGCATGGGCACTACTAGGCGGCACGCAACGCACCAGCGATCGCAGCTGCCACTGCAAGGCTTTGAGGATCGGCCACAAGCTGCACCAGCCTTTACATCCGCATTTACACGCGTCTGCGCTCTTGGGCGCTGAAAAAAATGACGGCGCTGCGCAAGCATGTTCACAACCCAGACGCCCAGCACACTCTCTGAGCGCCCTGCCGCCTGCGAAATAAACCGGACGCCGCCCATATATACGGACAACGGGATCGGCAACCCATTCCCTGATTGCAGCGATTCAATTACATGTGGGTGACCCGCGTAGGCGGGCACGTCAAGTACAGATGCAGGTCGGCCCTGTCGGCGCAGCCAAGGTGCGCATGATGCTGTTATCACTGGCTACTTCCTTTGCGAGCGAATCCCATAGGGCTCGGACGGGGGTTGCGTTGACTGAACGATGTGCCTGCATGTCCTTGCTCATCGGTATATCTATGAAACGCAGGTCTCCTGGGTCGGGGAGGACTCTGTCCAGGTGCCCCTGAAATTTTCCCGATCTCGGTGTGTCTGGGCTACATGCGTAAGTCGAAAAGAAAGCGCCCTCCACCCCAGATTTGTCGGCATGCCAACAACACGTACACAGGTCCGTTGCCGTAATCCGGCACCTCGCATATAGTTCCAATAAATGCTTCAACAATCCAGCGCCATGTTGCCTCTGTTCTGAGGGTCGCGGGTTCCACTGTCGAGGCGGCGAATCCGCCACGAGGTCAACAGACGAGCCAGGCACGCTAATTTCTTTGGGCCTGTAAATACGGACATTGCGACGGACCTGGCAAAGCATGGGGTCATATGTGATCAGCGAAGCACTCACGCATAGCATGTTCACATAGCATGGGCGCATTGCACTGGTGCATAGCATGGAAGCGCCGCTGGCATTTGACCATAACATGCGCACAGCTCACGCGTATCAGCGCGCATATCTAGCGCATGTCATTTCGCTATCATGAGTGATTCGAGCGACGGATGAGAAGATTGCGGGCGGAGCCAGACCGTGATCGTGACGCAGGTGACTGAGTAAAACACGCAAGATCGTCATATGCCCTATGGTGCCAGGCAGTGCCGTGCTATGCCAGGCGCGATGCCATGGAATACAACGCTATCCCGCGCTATGCTATACCATGCTAGACCGAGCTACGCTTCGACGTCGGCGACTGCGACGGCGACGACGTTGACGACGCGTAGACAATTTCGGTTCGAACTGACACGCTCCACACGGAGAGCGCCGATGATGATCATTCGAGCGAAACGCTTAGACATCAACATATACGCCGACAGCTCGTAGCATCGTCAGCTCGGCGACTTCGGCAGATTGGAACATCGGGCGCAGCAGCAGCGCTACCGCCGAGCAGCCAAGCATCGATCAGCAGCGGCTGTCGCCAGTCCGCGCGCACCTAGGCAGTCGTCACCAGCATCGCCATGTCAGCTAGCTCTGATCGCATGCGCCCGCACGCCCTGCCATCCGCCGCCTCCATACCCACCACCCGTGCCCCATGCGCCTCCCGACCCCCTTATTCATCGTCGAGCTGCGGCGGTGCCGCATCGTTTCTCGAGCTGCGATGCGCGCTGACTCGCTGAGCGCACTTCGCAGCGGCAGCGGGCGACGGACGCGCCAGGACGTAGCTGCGTCGGCGGACATGCGCGGCGTCAGCCATTTGAATCGATAAGAAAATTGTTCCCAATGGCCGCGAAGCCAAGGACGCTCACCTGTCTCGGGCGTCCCGAGGTGAAACGAGCGCGGCCGTGGCCCGCAACGAATGTCGTTGGCGTAGGCGCTGGCGTCGGCGCTGAAGGTGCTGGTGTAGGCGATGGCGCGTGCGCTGGCGTAGGCGCAGTCGGTGCCGTCGTGGGCTGGTGTAGGCGCTGGCGTAGGCTCTGTAAGTGCCGTCGTAAGCGCAGGTGCTGGCGTGCCTACTGCTGAATGTCATCTGCCGCTGCCCACGAGCTGCCCAAGCTGTCCCCGTCGGTCGTCTCCACCTTCAAGCTCGGGTTCAGGGCCGCCGTGAACGTCGGGCTGGCCCTGCCCTCGCCATTGACCTTGATGCGGTCCGTAGTCGGGACGGGCGTGGGCTTCGGGGCGTGCTCAAAGTTGTTTTTGTAGATGCGCACGCTCGCAACCTTGCGGTCCGACTTGCTGGCCACCCTCAGCTTGTCCAGGATCGCCGCTTTCAGCTCCTCGCACGTCACCGTCGACGCCACAGGGCTGCTGACCAACTCGACCCCCCACCACCCCTTGAACTTCCCGTCGAGAATGTAGATGCTCAGGTAGACGCCGTCGCCGAAGCGGCCGTCGCCCGCTCCGCCGCGCATGTCGCGCGCGCCGGGCCAATCGCCCGCAGGGAGCGCGAACGAGTCCACCTGCACGTAGATGCCGTACTTCGCCGCGTTCTGGTTGATGGCGTGCCAGTCCTCGTACGCCTCTCCATCGCGGCGAACCTGGCCGTTCACGTGCATTGCGCGGCGGTAGAGCGAGATCTTCTTGCCCGTGTAGAAGCTGAACTTCTCCTCCAGCTCGTCCATCAGCATCTGCGCGGTGGGGAAGAGCGGCCACTCCTTGGCGCCCACAGGCGGCTCGACCGAGAGCCACTGCCCCCCCTCCACGTCCTTCAGGTAGCACTCCACCTTCATCCTGGCAGCGCCGTTCGCGATGTTGAACCCGAACGTGTGCTCGGTCGCCCTCATCACGTGCTCTGCCATCGCTGGTGATGCGCGCGGTGCTGCTGGTTCCCAGCGGTGCGGCTGGGCGCGCTGGCGATGCGCGCGGTGTTGCTGGTTCCCGTCGCGCGCGAACCTGCAGCGCTGCTGGTCGCGCGAAAGGCTTGGGCCAGAACAGATGCAGGAGGGCGGTGGGCGGGGACTTCACTGAGCTCTGCATCATCAGATCCCCTCTACATTCATCCTCAGTATCCTCTTCCTAACCATCATATCCCTCATCATCATTTCATATCACCTAAGAATCAGAGAAACTATGGATTCAGTTTGTGTCGGGATTTCGGTTTTCTGCTACGCCTGGCGGCCCATAGGGGCCATACGGATCGCGAGGAGGCGGAGGAGGAGGAGGAGGAGGAGGAGGAGGAGGGGCCATCTGTGGTTGTGGTTCCTCGCGTTTCTCCGGCCAGCCTCTCTCCCCTCCCCCTCCTCCCTCTCTCCCTAAA